CTTTAAGTGCATACATGAAGAGCTTGATAAAAAACTATTTGTTGAAGTAAGATTTTATTTATTTATAGTAAAAGAATGAATTCCTTCTAATTGATACTAACATTACTTTAATATGAGTAGAAAAACTACACAAAAAAGATATGCAAAGAATCAAAGAAATGTGTGGTTGTATAAAAAATAATTTATGCTATTTTAAAAAATTGATATCAAATTTGATCTAAACTATAACATAGATTATATTTGGAAATATTTATCAAATTGGTATTTAGGATTCTATAAGTGCATTCTTTGCAATGGATTAAAACCTCTAAAATCAAATGATTGGATTAGATTATATAGCATAGTTGGAGCATTTTTATTAAACTATGTTTTTTAATTAAGTATTTCCAATCTTTGTATTGGTTTTGATAACTAATCTATTTTTTCTAAATCTCTATAAATTAAATTTTTTATGATTGATAATCAAATAAGACTCTTTATTCTATATGGCAAACTATTATCAATTCTAAATCCAATTTCTCTCTACATACTTGTGTCAAATATAGAATGAATATAAGATTATATTGAAGTAGTAAGAATGGTTGTCAAAACAAAAGTTACAAATGAAATTGATGAAGGCACTAGATTTCTCTTTGATACAATTTCAAGATGAATTATTGATTCTTAAGAAGATTTATTATTGATATATAAAGAACATAAGCTAATAATGATACTTTACTACCATGTCAATTTTACAACTTAAATCTCTCCAATAATAATACATCACAAGATTTAGAAATAATTAGTCAATTTTTTTAAGAATTAGGTTATTTTGATAACATACAAAGTAGTTGCTAGCTCAAAAAGAATTGACTCTTTATCATAGATATAACCAACTCTTGTAATTGCATAGATAAGAGAAATTAGGTAGTAGTAAGAAAAAATAGATAAATTATATAATATTTTGTAGAAAAACTTCTTAAAGCTTTATAGATGCAAATTTGACTTTATATGTATCTATAGATGATTGATAGATTGAAAAGTGGGCCAACAAGCTTGCCATGTATTGCACATATTGGCCACCTTTGGTACTAATTAATCATTTGGCTCACATATAAGAAACTTGTCTTGCAAATTAGATATGTGTTACAAATTAAACACATGTTATAGGTCCTATAGAATGTTACCACTTAGTTTATAATTAGATAGTATATATAAAAACAAAAGTGAGATATTTCTTACTCTTTTAAATGCCTTTCTTATTCTTAGCCTTGTTTCAAGAATCTCTTATCTTCTTGTGTTTGGCAATAGCTATTCTAGTTTTTATCTATCACATATTTTTATTATTTTACTTTTTCTCTTTGAGTATATTATTTTTATAAAGTTTTGTTATGATTCATATCTTTGACACTCTTGAAAAGTCTTTTTATAAAAATAAATAATTTTTTTAAAGTACATTTATTCCAGATTTAATAAGCTTAAAATAATATGGTCCTTATTATAAAGCACATACTTTAGATAATTTGAAGGCAATACAATGATTCCTCATTCAATTCAATATAGAAACTTGAAATGATAAGAAAGTTTGAATAGAAATCTAGTCCAACCTTCTAAACTATAGAAAAATGATTTTGAAACTCATTTTGTATAAATTAAATATAGAAGTTGAAAACAATAAAGATCTGCTTTATTATTGGGAAAAAACATAGATGGCTAAGGATATGTTAGATGTTAGACACAAAAAATCCATAAGGAAGAATTTAACTCCTCCTTAGAACGACATTATTGTACACAATAGATTAACAACTGATATATTGTAATATTTAATCTAATAATTGTAATAATGCTTCATATACCATCCACTTTTTTGGAATCAAGGTCTTTAAATACTATATACTTACCTCAATAATCAATGCATTCCATATATTCTAACTATATCAAAAATAACAACATATATTTCAAATCATCATTAAGGTCTATAAAATTGATTAAATTAATTATTTTAAATTAAAAACAATGTTATATGTAAGTTTTTAGAATTTTATATTATATTTAAAAGAAAAATTTATTAAATTTTTTGTAAATATTATAAATATCTTTTAAAAAAAATTAAAATTTTATCAAAACTGATGAAAAGTTGCTAATTTTTTTAAAATTCTTACTAATTTAAGTTTAATAGTTCTAAATTGACAACTTTTTTAGTAACTATTTTTTAAAAAGGAATTGTTATAATTATTATAATAACTTACTTAAAATATATTTAAGATTCTGTATTTAAAAAATACTACATTTGGTATTTTGTAACTTTTCTATCATTATTTGTAAGTGAGTTAAGGCCATAATAATTGTATATGCTATAACAAACTAATAATAAATTTGTAGAAACACACAACAAAACTAAAGATGTTAGTTTTAAAGAATATTTTCTATTTCCTCCACAACATTGTAGCACTCTTAATAGATTATCCACTTTTCAGACATGCTTAGAGAAAAGAATCTTTAGAAGAAAAAATCTACATCCTTCTAAAATGACATGATAAATTCCAAGAAGAAGTAATCTGCCCCCCTTTGTAAAAGACCATCATAGGACAAGAAAATACCTCAAGGATAAATAATCCAACAACCTTCAAGATATATAATTCATGATTTATAATATCTCCCAGAAAACAAGATAGCACACTCATTATTATATATATATATATATATATATATATATATATTTAAACACAAATGTGATAAAAATAAGCAGTCTTGCCAAATTGTTAAGATACAAATACAAAAGTACAAAAATCCAAAACACATAAACACATACAGATTTTTTTGAATTAAAAATATGGATATTTTAAATTGAATCATAATATAAATGGTTTTTTACAAATAATTATATAATAAATATATGCTAAAAACATCAACATTTATTTTTTTTTATTTTCAGCAAATTAAATACGTCTCTTTGTGGATACACAAAAGTCAAAAATAAAAAGCAATAAAAAGGAAATGGGTTGTGCAACAGAAAATGGTGAATAGACTTCACATTTTTCGACATTTAACTGACTACAAAGTTCTGACTTTAAGGGCAAAAAAAATTACTTCTTTTGTATTACATGCCTCATTACTTAGATCCTTAACTTATGATTAATCTAATTTGGCCATTGATTTTGATTTTGCTTTTTTGTATTGGTTGGTTTGGTCTCAAGTCATTCAAACCTCAATTTGATTTGAGGGCTGAATTTTAAAATTGGTAGAAAGTTGTAAAACAATGTATTGTTGACATATTATATTATCTGAATGTTTTGCACTCTTTGTTGCTAGTTACTGTGTATGTATGTCTATGTATGTCTATGTATGTCTATGTATAAACCATTTTTTAATGTTTTGTCAATTATTGATTTTAAAATATTTTGAGTTTTTAAACGTATAGGACACTAGTATAAAATTTGATGAAAGAAAAACATGAAAAATGTTTTTAAATACTTATATATATATATATATATATATATATATTTGATTGGTACAATCTATCAAATTCACATTAAAAGATAAAAAAAAGAAAAAAAAAATCTTCATTTGGTTTCTTTTCATTTGAATTTTGTATCTGCTGTAAATTTGAGTAACATAAAAAAGATCTTGACAGTCTTATCTAACCTCAGACAACAACAAACTTGATATTGAATATAATGTCATTTGATTTGATACTTGAGTATTTATTTTAGATGTAATCGAGGACGTCCAAAGGAGGTATTTCTTACATTTTGTGCTAATGTTGAAATCTTATGATTCGTGTGTTTAATGACCACAAGACATGCATGAATGCAACTAACCAGTGTTAATAGCAATTATGCTTATCTTGTTATGACACGTTTCTACCACTGATTCAGTCCCAACGTTCTGAGTCATGCGGCACGTCAGCTTCCACACCAGCAACCACATCCTCCCCACATGCCTTGTTAGACCCTTTGACGATGATTCTACTTTTGTTTGAAAAATAATTAAAAATGTAAAATTTGATAACCTCTCTCTCTCTCTCTCTCTCTCTCTTTCACACACACACATGTATGTATGTATATATATATATATATATATATATATGTGTGTGTGTGTGTGTCTGTAGTGTAAAATATAGAGGAAAATGCATGATTTCAATTGCTTTTTCTATTTCGTGGGGTATCTGTTAGAATCAAATAATGGGTCTAACAAGAGGCTCCAAAACTAATTCAAAGTGGAGGAAAACACGCTCCTCAGTCACAATACTTTAGAGCAACTTAAAACTTCTTCCTCAACAAGTACTTGCAAGTAATTCGGCACTGAACAAGTATGGCCCAGTAAGACTTCTCATGCATTCTATCCAATGATTTCATCCATCATCAGGATAGATGGATGCCCTCTGGCCTCCGCAAGAGCCGCGCAGCAGCAAACGACTTAGTAAGTAGTGAGTCACAACTCACCACAGGGAGTTACTGGTGGGTGGAGGCTGTTTGCCGAGTTCAACAATGAGAGGCGGGCAACGTCGCAGCGCGGTCGCGAGTGGCACTCACACTTCTTCTTCGCGACGCTGCGTCTTTTCTCCGCATCCAATTTCTGCTTGTGCTTCACCAATTTCGCGCCGTGCATTGCATAACTGGCATCCTGCTCCTGCTCCTGCTCCCTAACGCTTCCACATACTGCGCGTATTGTAACTCCTCCCATGCGATTTGCTCGTGGGGTTAAAAGTAGACCAATGTGCTGCTCCTCACTTTTCTCGTGATGATCGTCTGGGTGAGAAATTTTGCCGGTGGAGTTACGCTTTGTGTTCCAATCGACGGGTTTCCTTGAATTTCGTAGTGATCTGTCGAAGCGTGTGGTTAGACTTGATTTTTGAGGTTTTTAATTTTCAATTTTCATCTGTGTGGGTGGCAGTGACGGAGCTTGAAAGTTAGCTTTCTCTCTTAAACTTGTTTTTGAAAATTTCTTACGTCATTGGAGTTTTAAAAACCGAATGGTGCTTGTTGCGTGGGATACGCTGATCTTAGAATTGGTATCAGTACTTTATTCTTCTTTTCTGGGAGATCGGGCTTGCAAATTGCTCTGCATTCTCTTCCGTTGATCATGCACTCCTTCGTAGATTTGCATAAGTTCTCTTGGTTTATGCGTAATACGTCTTTTCTGGAGTTCGAGTAAAAGACAGTGTGGCGGATGCAGTGCCACCGGTTTACCGTAGAATTTTGTTCCCTTCGTCTGAGATCTTATTATTGTTCAATTAATTCTTCTGTGTGCTTCCTGTGTCGCTGCACGCATGCAGTTTTTTGCTGATTTCCCCAAGTGGACTTCTTCTTTGATTGCGAAAAGAATAGTTACTGTATTTGAGCCATTCCTTAATTCAAGATTGGTTCTTAGCGAAGAATCTGAACCTCTTGATTTTTTTCTCAAAGCACGTGAGTCCTTATCACGTCCATGATATCTCGGACGACAGGACATGAGGAACAGAGAACCAGAGAGTTCTTAATTGGCGAGAATTTTGCACATTGTTGCTGTAGAAAATTCGTGTCTACACGATTCGAATCTATTTGTACCTTAGAAGATTCTTCACATTGAACGGGAATCTTGAAGCACTGTGTACAGTAGTCAGCCGGCGCAGTTGAGTGTTGTAGCGATGCTACTTGTGCATTCGTGATAGAGAAGTTGGCTGGACAGACCTTGCTTATTTGTTTTGTTTTTGAGAGACCTTCTTGGTAAAGATAGTGCATTAAATTCCCATGATAGTTCTCTGTGCAGACAAGAGAAACTTAGAAATCCTTCTGTGAGCATTTTCTCCAAGATTATCTGATATTATCATGCTTTTCCAGTAGATCCTGTATCATTTTGTGCGAAAGTATCCTACTCATTTCATACAAAACCGAGGAACATTCGTGGAACAAAAGCCGCTGTGGCCTGGTGAACCGCGAGTGCGCCACACTGGCGATATCCATGGTTAGGGGCAGACATCAGAAATCGTTCTAACTCGATCTAGAAGAGTACTTGACGTAACAGTTTGTGAATTGCTTTTTGAGCGCCTACGCAGTGCACGTTCGGGGGAAGGAATGTTCTGTGGTGTCATTAGAGGATAATACCGTGCCCTTGAGAAACTCCTGGAGTTCGTGCAGAGTTGATCTGGAAAGCTGTACAGCCAGCTCTACCTCGAAGTGAATTCGCAAACAGAGAATTCTTGTAGCACGAATCTTTGAAGTTTGTAGAAGTACATACCTTCTCTTGGATTTGACGGATACAGGATTGCTGCAGGCATGTCTGCGACGGAGGAGCTTTATCCTTTTCCAGACTCTAGCCAAGTTTTTCTTCCGATGGAGTTTTGGCCAGAATTTCTTGCAAGTACTACAGGAACCGAGTTTTTAGCTGGAGGAATGGGAGGAATGGCAGGAGTAATGGCGGGCCATCCCTTGGACACTGTAAGGATTCGATTACAACAGCCACGGATCGTAGCCTCCACTGCGCCAACCACTGCAACAGGTCTAATTAAGCACATCGTGTCAACAGAGGGGCCCATGGCTCTTTTCAAAGGCATGGCAACTCCTCTGGCTACTATTGCATTTCAGGTCTGCAAAATACTTGTTACCTTCTGTTTTCTTCCATTCGTAGATGTCTACGTGCATAATTGTCAAGTATTTTGGAAGGTTGAAGCATCAGATCAAGCATTTTAATACTTCGGAAATCTTTACATGAACTTTTCAGTTCAACTCACAGACTAATTAGTCTTTTTGCATCCGTTAGAATGCAGTTTCTTTTCAAGCTTACGCACTCTTCTCACGAGCCTTATCAGATCCTGGAAGTCAAAGCCCTCTTTCGTATGAAAAGGTGGCTATTGCGGGCATTGCAGCGGGCACCATACAGACGGGCATATTGACACCTGTAGACCTGATTAAGATAAGGTTGCAAATAGCCACAGATCGTCGAGCCCAAAGGAAGACTTTGAAATCTCAGCAAGCTGGACCGCTGGGACTTGTGCGAAATATTGTGCGTAGAGAAGGTATCAAAGGTTTGTATCGCGGCTGGAATGCTACAGTAATCCGAGATGGACCTAGCCATGCAGGTCAGTCTTTTTCTTGCCCCTGACATTTTGCATGTGCGTTATACTGTAGAAGGTATGGTCAACAAAGTCTTTCATGTCTTTTTTGTTGGTGTATGATAATTGTAGTGAAGATCCAGCTGTGGACAACGATAAAGCCCGTGGATACTCATCCTTATATTCCCAAACGTTATTGCTTCACAAGCTTATGTTATTAATTAAATGTTATGCATTCTTTTTACTGGACATTTCGAGAATTTTTCTGCGAGTTCAGCTCTTAAATTTCATACTTCGAGGATAAATATCTCATCGTTCTTTTGGTATAAATCATTCTGCAGTTTACTTTGGGACATATGAATATGTACGAGAACTGCTGCATCCTGGCTGCAGAACGAATGGTGAAGAGTCATTATCGACCATGCTTGTGTCTGGAGGTTTAGCCGGATCTCTGAGTTGGTTGTGTTGCTACCCCTTAGACGTTGTGAAATCGAGACTTCAAGCACAATGTGCAGGTGGCGCTCCCCCTCAATACAAAGGCATTATGGATTGCATTCGCACCAGTGCCCGACAAGAAGGTAACAAAGTGTTCTGGCGGGGCCTGGGACCTTCGTTAGCGAGGGCGTTTCTGGTAAACGGAGCTATCTTTTCTGCATACGAATTGTCTTTACGATATCTAAGTCCTCGCTCTCCAAATGGTGAAATGTAGTTTCAACTCGTCTCGTAAATAGTGGGTGTTTGGAAATTTTACAAACAACAGCCGCAAAGATCGTGCGATGCATGGTAATATAGTGTTAGTTCAAAGGTAGGTCCATGTGGTGGATAACATCAAGGTTAGTTCAACAGTTTTCAGGTTTAAAATATTCTTGCATTGTACAGTAGTTCTATAATTTAATCCCTCTGGACAATGCGTGCTAGGGGCTACATACGTGGTTAAAACATTGTGCAAGCGATGTGCACCATACATTTCATCAGAGGCTAGGTCTTAGTTTAGTTATAGGCATACCTTTGTAGCGAGGATTGACCAGAACAATCTGGACTTAGTTTCATATCTTGATAATGCTGAAGTCAAAAATTTGTGCACCATTTGATGCTTGTAAGTGCAGAAATCTAATTTGCATTTGACATCAAATGTTTTTGGAAAATTTTGCATCTATGAGCTAAAGACCGAATTTACCAGTTCAGAATTAAGTCTTCAGGAGAAGCACTGAAAACACACTCGTAAAGCAATCATCATGTATTGAAGTTTAAGCCAATATCTAATGTAAAACTAAAACAATAACTCAGCACTAGATATTCAATCAATTACAGTTTGAAATGTAAATGTATTTTAATTCAATATAATCATATTCCACAAAATATTACAAATGTGATTCCTTTTATAATGTGAGAAAATTGAATTGCCCAAAAAATTAGAATAGAATACATATCAAATAATTTTTTAGCAAAGAAATCAACACACATTTCTATTTTCCACCTTTGATATGGATTACCAAATGCAAAGTAGATTCATTTTGGATGTTGTGACTAAAAAGTGTATAACCATGGTATAATATTATGGATTTGGCCTTTATATGTCAATTTGTTGACAATATATAAAAAAATTTAATTTTAAAGTCCAAATTGTATATTTTAAAAAGCATATATAATACAAAAATAGCTTTAAAAAATCATTATTTTTTATGATTGTGTTAAAATAGTTATTTCAAATTAAATTTCACAATACTAAAAAATAAATAAATAAATAGATACAACTTAGCAATTCTAGAATAATTTTTTTAAAAATAGACATGCAAATTGGTTTGAGTTAGAAGTAGAACATGATCCATGTTATTAGCTCTTAGTAAAGAAGTTATATATTTATTAATGATATGATGTCATTAAAAAAATTTGATTTAGATATCAATAAAAAAAATTATAATTATTGTATTATATCTTAGTAAAATCAAGCAAAAAGTATAAAATAAAATAAACTAAAAAATGCTATTAGAATAGGTATATATTTTTTAAAAATAATAAATAATAAATAATAAATAAAGATGTGATAGAAATGCCTTTATAATAAGTACATATTATGTAATAGAAATATTGGCTAAAGTTAAACAAAGATTTAGTAAAAGCATAATTATTGGTGTTTCATGTCATTAAGTTGTTACAAAAGATAATTGTGTAATAGAAAAATTCCAATAACATACAATTTTTCTAATATTAAAATATATTTTTAATAAATTAGTTAAAACTTTGCACCCAAACTTGAACACATAGATATTTGATGTCATTTATGTGATGTTTTTTTTTAGATTTTTATATTATTATGGATAAATTTAAAGTTTTTTTTGGATTATTTGAATAGAAAACTCACTCTTCTATTGCTCAATATTGCACTTAAATTTTTTTAAAGATATTTTATTTAAGATAAAAGAATCTAAAAAAAAATTAAAAATTAAAAAAAAAAAAAAAAAAAAACACACACACACACACACACATGCTATTATAATAATTCTCTAGCTTGTATATTCTTAAAGTGATAAAGTTTCTAATCTAAAAGTTAGCATTATTTATTTTTATTTTTTTTGTACTACTACGCAATGTTGATCCTGCAAATTATCTCTATAATGGCACTAGATTGGTAGTTTAATAATTTACTAGTTCTAAATTAGTACGTTCATATTGTGAATTCAAAAAATCTTGTTTTGAATAGTTTCTATTTTATCAAGTTAAAAAATATGAATTCGAAATTTGAAAACTTAAAAAGTTTCATGGCCCTCATCAACTATAACATCTACCTCATAAATATAAAGAAAATTAAAGAATTGAGTTTAAGTAATTAAAAATTGATGCAAATTTATTTGAAACATTAGGTTGTAATTAATTGCTTGTTTTTGATGAATCAAATCAAAAAAAAAAAAAAAAAAAAACCAATGTCAAAGTGAATATAAGTGTGTATTTATATCTAATTCTATTGTAATAAGTTGTACATTACAAAAAGACATCTTAAACCTTTTAAGTAGGGTAATAGCTTTTAAAATTAACTTATATTGCAAAGTACCATTGATGCACATTCATGAGGCAAAAGTAAGTTTGCAACCAAATCACAAATTATTGGATGCTTGACCTAAGAGTATTATAAACATAGAGCAACTACTAAAACAAGGTCATCTATAATTTTGTCTATAATCATCACATTCTAAGGTATTAAAGAGTTTCATTTGATTATTTTGTCTTATTTAGAACCAAGTATGTGTATAGCCATTCAAAAATTATTCCATCTCTTAAATATTCTTATTACAAATACTTTGTTAGTTTCTTTTTGATGAATTTCTAATAAGTTTATCTATATTTGATAAGATCTTGCCAAACTATACTTCTAATACAGAGTGTACTCTATACATTATTTTCAAAGACAAACTTATTGTGCTAAATCAAATTGGTCTATAATCAAGTACCTCTTAACAAGGAGAAGGTCTTACAAAAATATTTGAATAAAGAAGGAATATTTTTCACAAAAATGACTTATTATCAAGTTAAAAATTTCCATGGGCTTTAATTTTAAGAATAAGATATTATTTTTGTATAAAGAAAAGTTACCTAATTTCAAAATGTAACAAGCTTAATAAAAATCCCAAAATCAATGGAGAATAGATTGAATTTTTTTGAATTGATACATAGGATAATGTATCTTAATATTGGAATTTATTTTTTTCCTCCAAGTGTTGATTGCTATACCTTTATGCCATGTAAAAGAAATGAATATAGCCTCTTTGAAAGAATAGGGATTACACTAAGTGTCTTTGTAACTAAATAAACATTTTGATAAGGAAGAGAACATTATTTTTGTTCTTCTAAATTTATAGCAGCAATATTGCTTTGCAATAATTTTTTGCCAAATTTTTTGAAGTATGTCATGATTTTTTTACTAACAATCCAAGAATATGATAGGAAATCAAAGGTCAATATACTAATTGGACCATAGAAGAAAATAATACTAATATCTCATTTTTTATTGATTTAGATTTTGAAACAGCTGTAGTAATTTTTAAGATGCTTCTTATTGGATTTGCATTGTCTTCTATATCTTACTTAAGCAATAATTCTTCATCAAAGTATAGAATTTTTAATTGAGTACATATTTAAAATAATTTTATATAAATGGAATAAGATGGGACAAATCATCTATTTTTTCTACTTTAATATATTTTGCAAGGAGTTGAATACCACCTTAAGAAAAATATTATATCTTAATTTATACACTCCAATTAAATTTAATATGACAATTCTTTTCTAAAACCATTAGAAAAATTTTAATAATTCAAATTTTAGAAAGGCATTGTTATATTAATTTTTTTTTATAAGATTAGAAAATAAATATGAAAACATTCTAAATAATGCTATAAATTAGAAGAATGTAAAAAGTAGACATAGCTTCTTCTCTAATAAGTAGATATGTTGGCCCATTAAAGAAGTTTTTAACATGCTAAAGACCATTTGAATGTAGAATTGTAACTTGATAAAATAATAAATAAATTTCAATTAAAGAAAATTAATATATAAATCCTATCATATAAATATTCCATTCATTATAAGAAAAAAAATGAAGTTTGAGCCAAAAAAACTTACACAAATGTGACCAAATATTTTTAATTTTTTTTCATATTATAGACCTAATATGCTATTTATAATTTACAATAAGTAATCAAATCAAACTTGATGTCAAATTTCCAAAAGCTATTGATATAGAATTTATTAAGAAATATTTAAGAAATTAGTAGATATTAATTTGGCTTGGTTTAAGAGCCACTAATATCTAATTAGACAAAAGAGCTTCGGAGGCAACTTTTGGATCAATTAGGCTAAAGCCACCATTTTCACAAGGTTTGCAATAAATAATTGTAGTCACTTTAGAATACAATTCATTATAGGTTTAATTTAAAAATTTTCTTTTATAAAGCCATTCCATATATCTAGAAAGAAAAATAATAAGAAAAAGAAAATGTTTTTGTAATCAGAGCTCAATTTACTACATTGATTTTAATAGAACACTAATAGTCTAATTTTCTTATCATTCTATTGATAAAAAATTAGTGAACATCATATAGTGAATATCATGTGCTCAAAAAAATACCAAAAAGACTTCATAGAAGCTTGGTAATACTAATACTAAAAATCTATGCCTATCTAAATTAATTTAATTAAGCAAGTATCATGGACATATGCATCTAAGCCAGTAATTATATATATAAGTAAAAGTAAATAAAAGTAGATAAAAGAAAATTAATTCTACAATATTTGCTATGAAAGCTTCCTAAAAGCTCCATAGACGTTGCTTTGACTTTATAGGTGTCTTTAATTGACTTTTTGGATTATAAACTTAGTCAACAAGTTGTCCATGTGCCACATATGTTGTTAGCTTGAAGACCAAGCTAACTATATAGCCCACACATAGAAAAACTTACTTTATAAGTCAAGGCATGTGTCCTACAAAATCAATATATATTGGAGGTCTTATAGAACATCGCCACATAGCTGTCACGGACATACTCATATAAGCCAATAATTACATATACAAATAGGTAGAAGTAAATAAAAGTAGGTAAAAGTAAGTTAATTCTATAGTATTTGATATGGAAGCTTTCTAGAAGCTTCATAGATGCTGCTTTGACTTCATAGGTGTCTTTAATTGACTTTTTGGATTAGAAACGTGGTCAACAAGTTGGCTATGTGCCACACATGTTGTTACCTTGAAGACCAAGATAACTATGTGGCCCACACATAGAAAAACTTGCCTTCTAAGTCAAGGCATGTGTCCTACAAAGTCAACAAATATTAGAGGTCCTATAGAATGTCGCCACCTAGCTCCTAATTAGATAGTATATATAGAGACAAGAGTGAAGCCTTCTTCACTCTTGTTAACTCCTTTCTTGCTTCAAGTCTAGTTTCAAGGGTCTCTAGTTTTCTTCTCTTTTGGCAATAGCCATTCTAGTTCCTCATTCAATATACATACTTGTTTATTTATATTTTGTTACTTTTTTTTAAGTGAAGGCTCACTTGTTTGAATTGCTTTTTCATGGAGTTCTTGCCCTTGACAGAT